GAAAAATGTCAAAAAAAAAAATTGCTTTTTTTTCGCGAAATACACGTATTAGTCATCAGAATGCTTTAACCAAAAGTTCTTTTGCTTCCAACTGCGATATTTAACGAGTTATTGGCATTTTATTGGCATTGGCGAAATTCGCCCGTCGAATTCAGCAAACTTTTGACAATAAATTTCGTTTTTCGTCAATAACTTCCGAACGGGTGGACGTAGGAGGACGTATTTAGGCTCATTTTGTAGGGGGTGACGAGATCTACAATTTCTGTGAAAAAAGAATTCGCTAATGCCAATGGTTAACGAGTTATAGACGAAAAACAAAAAACAGTTTTTTGCAAATTACTCGCAAACTATTGATGCTAGCGGAAAATTATTATATAGGAATTGTAGATCTCGTCGTCCCCTACAAAATGACCCTAATTAGGTCCTCCTACGTTCACCCGTTTGGGAGTTATTGACGAAAAACGAAATTTTTTGTCAAAGCGAAAGTGCTTGGTTCCAATATTGCTGCACCAGAGAGAAAAACTGGTTTGCAGCCGTGAACGCTAGATGGCGCCACGATGAACTCCAAATTCATCGGAGGGAAACACTTTCGCGGCCATAGACGCTAGATGGCGCCACGAGCAACTCCAAATGCGAAATATGGTTATGCTAAACAATGAAAATTACGATGATATAAAAATGGACAGAGTTAACGCGTCCGAGAAGAAACGACTGGAGTCGTTAAAACGGCAGAAAGAAATATTTAGGACGAAGGAATTGGCAGTGAAAAATGCATTGAAGAATTTGGTAAATGTTTGGTACACACACGTGCATTTCCGTATTGAAAACTTTCTGCATTCGAATGCGTAATTTTTATTTTCATAGGACAGTACATCGAATAAAAACAAGATAATATTTAGTGATGACAACGATCAAGTGAAACAGCCGAGACCTGGCAAGAAAGAGAAAAAAAGGAAACGTGATCTGTTCAACAATGACGATGATCAGCCGCTTTGGAACGATGATCAATTTGCAATCGATAGACACGCCACAGGGAAGGTAAAACTCTTATTCACATTTCATTATGCAATCCAAATTATCTAATTGACAATTGCAGGCTCTTAGTACCGTTACTCTGGGGAATGACGACAGGTTCAAGCTCGATGAACGATTCGTGGAAAATGATAAGTCGGTTAAAAACAATCTTGTGGAAAATAATGATGAGAATGATTTACAGAAGGAAAAGGAGTTGCAATTAGATATTCTAGAAAATATTTTAGGAGCACCTATTACTTCAAGAAATAAAATCGTAGATAAGGATGCAAAATTCACCAAGTATAAACAGAACGCATAATTATTTATTATTCGAGGGACAATGAGAAGAATACATGAATATTTCTACATACGTTTTCAGGAAAGGAATGATCAGATACGACCCTACAAAGAGCAGTCATAAAGAATACGAAATTAATACTGAAAAGTCTGAGACCGAGAGTAAGACGGTGAAGAAGAGAAAGAAAACTAAGAATACTGAAGATAAAAATGTGGATCCGACTATACCAGTATCGACAGATGTCTATTTCTCAGTATCAGACTCCCTAACGAAAAGTTTAAACGAAGGAGGCCAATTCAGTTTATTAAAAACGTATGGAAAAGAGACAGATGAAAAGGGTTAATTTCTCGGACACTGATTAAAATACACAGCTCGTCATGTACGATATTAACAATTATATTTTTTCTAATTATAGGCGAAGATAATGAGAATGCACAAATTATAGAAGCACCGAAACGACCAAACTTTCAGTTCGACTTTAAATCGAAGAATCCGTTTAAGTACGATTCTTCCGACGATGAACGAGATGCTAAACAAGAATATACAGTCAGTGAGGAACGTACGGACGACATAATAGAACAGACAAATAATTTTTTCTTCGAGCCCAACGACGTTCGGTTCAACGGTACGTATAGAATTTTAAAAACATATATCCTTCACAGGAATGTTTGTATGTAATAAATTACAGAGGCAGAAAGCTTCTTTTCAAAGGACTACGCGTCGGAAGATAAATTTAAAGAACTCAGACAGGAATTGAAACAGATCGTCCGTTTGAAGATCCGGAGAAACTTAAAAAAGAAACAACCCTGGGGATACAAGAAGAAAGTGAAAAGAGCATCTTGAATCGCCCTTGGAAAGTACTAAGCATCGTAAGAAAATGTATATTTATAATATGTACATACATACATATACATTATACATGATATATAAAATATAAAATATCTGACATTTTTAATTGGGAATATTTCTTCTGCACGTCTCTCTCGATTGTACACTTACCGTGGTTAGTTTGCACGTTTAAAATATCTATAAATGCATTAAACTCCCTGCTTCGTCGTAGTATCGAAACTATATGATTAATAACAAATTATTGCCATTCCATTTGCGTCATAACGCTGTTACGTGAATAAAATTAGAATGCGATTGGTATCGGCCTTGGTTGTCTTCCACCACAGAGGAAAGGAAACACAAAACGCATTGTTACGTTTGATTCGTCTCTCCCTAATCCTTGCGGCCGACTTTGCGACATGCCCTGTCGAGCAACTTCAAGAAGAAGTCGTGCGGAAGCCCGCGAGATACTTGTTGTATGTGCGTATTTAATAAATTGTACGTTTCCTCTTCATAAACGGCGTAAGTATTTTGTAAACCTAATTCGTTGTAGAGTTGTTTCACGCGAGCCACTTTTTCTTTGTCATCTATCCCATAGCATTCCTGCGTAACGTTGAACATTATTCGTATCACTTTTTAAAAGGGGAGAAAACTTATCGACATACCTCTAAAATTTTCCTCTGCTCCCTCGTGGTACGCTGCAACGCGACGACGACGAGCCACGAGCATTTACCTGCTTCTATGTCTGTACCTATTTTTCCAGTGACTTCCGGATCACCATAACAATCTAAATAATCGTCTCGCACTTGAAACAGATGACCCATCTCCAATAAAATTGTTTCCGCCTGCCTATACATCTCCGGGTCTTTTATGCCAGCCTAAACGAGAATGTAATTTTATAAGAAGCAACGATTCAAGTCTGTTTAAACGTACCAGGTTCATAGCGGCCATCGCTGGCAATACGAAGGTATAATGGCACGTCTTGTATTTCACTATAGAATTATATCGATCCATAGTATAAAGATCCAGATTCACAGCCTTTCCGAAGTTCGTTGATAACATATCTAAACACTGACCCATCGCCGTCCTTAACGTACTCTGGAAATAACGCAACGTTGCTAATACAAATTCTCGAGGTGTAATCCGCAGCCTGTTAATTACTATTAAAAAGTGCGTACATCTAGGAATAATTCGATGAGACCCAAGTAGCATTCATTTGTTCTAAAGTGTTTCCTGAGGAGTTGATATATACACATTTCCAACATAATCGCGTCGTTAGTGGCTGCTAGGCCTATGCCGTTGGTCAAGTACCAGCACGGTTGATTTCGCCGCGTCTCCGATCCATCTTGAATATCATCTAACACCAAAAAGTACGCTTGCATCTGTCCAATGCACAGTCGTATAAATATCGAAGGTTCGTGGTAAATTTGTAGATTAATTTGAAAGAAATTTCATACCAATTCTGCGCACCAGGCTAAGATTCGGGCCAGACGGAGATTTTCATCTGTTAGATCGTGAGGGCATAAAGATTTGTACGCGTATATCACTGACAGACCTCGGATCTTCTTTCCTATAGGAACGTTGTATTGCAATACCTAAATTAAACAAAGCGTATCTTTAACTGTAATCAAAATATAATCAATTTTCAATCGTTTCATCTCTTGATAAAGAGGAATACCTTTGCCAACCACTTGGTCACGTCGGGTATATCCAGGTGACGACCAGTATTTGTGAGGTCGCGAACAACGTCGGGCCAAATGGCCATTAGCTCACGGCTTTCGTCCTTGTTCGACACATACGTGTCCTCCGATACGGAATACATTGTCCGCACGTCGACATTCTTTGATCTAGAAGAAAAGAAATTCAAACCGATAATACTACGAACATTGAACGTAGGAGAATCGTTGGAATAAGTATAGAATACGATTAATAAAAGTAATGAATTCTAAAAGATGAGTTGGATTATCGAGGCGTTATTGTAAAATTCTAAAATAACGAGATTTATAGTGTAAATTACGTGATTGAAGTCATGTTTAGACGCGTTTCAAATACATACTGCGAGCTCATTTTCTGCGTGAAGAGAATTTTGTAGAACCACTCGAGGAACAAAATAGACAGTCGTGCTACGTTTTAGGTCTCTATATATAAGTATACGTACAAAGAATGACGTATCCACCTTATTTGAATATATAATTTAGTCGAACTGTTCATATTTATCTAATATATTCTTGGAGTACATTAAATACATTGAAACTTATTGGAAAAATTTGTTAATAAATTTATCAACTTCAATTATTTACATTTTTTCCAGGCGGTTGAAGAGGGGAAAAAAAAGGTACCAATTCTGACTTATAAAAATTAAGATTACTTCGTTTGGTACATTGCCTTTGTCATTGTTATTGCCATTCAGTACTGCTATAAGAATTGGGGCGAGGACGGTAGTATGTATTGAATTACATTCTACAATGAAATATGCCGAAATGACACAAGAAATGAAACTGCAAATCATTCCTATCCGATACCGTAAGTTAAGATAACTACTTTAACATGTCTTTCGTCGTGTAAAATGTTTCGTCATTGTCATTGAAGTTTCAAGAAAATTTTGCTAATCTATTCCTTAACTTCATCGTCGACTCCAAGGATTCTTCAATTCAAGGATGAAACCAAGATAAATTGCTGGAGTTCAGTAAGTAAAATACAGTCAACATGTCTACATGAAACAAACTGAACACAAAGCTGTAGCTCTATCTAAATCTGCATTCTTACCAAATCAATCTTAACGATTAACATAACAATACAAATGTCTTGCAAAAGTACTAAAGATAGTCAGAATGTTACAGAATAAAATAGATATTCTCGCGTGTAATGTTGCTTGAACTTCGAAATTAATTGTAATTCGAATTATTGATACTACTTATCGAAATTAATAATTAATATAATCTTTTATGCAAATATTCTGCTGTTCTTATATTTTGCTGTTTTTATCTTATGCTGTATAAACAAACTTGCAAACAGATGCAACATATGTATATGTATGCAAGTCAATTTAAATTACATATTATCAACACAGATAATTTATTTAATTTCATTTGTACATTATAATTATGTAGATTTGCCTAATCTCTACGGTTATTTGTCAAACAAATTACAATTATCACGTATTGGAATTTTAAATTTGATTCGTATAACTATTGAAATGTACTTTTTTATATTCGAACGCAGCGAGCTGTGGAATCGTTTTCAATTATCATGACAACAGAATTTTTTACGTCAGACTATTCTGCTCGACTGAGAATTCTTATAATATGTCATCGATATCAGTTAAAGAAGACGCTAAACTAGAATCAGAAGAAATACAGAGTACCCTCCAAGAGGTACAGTTTCCTTATTCAATAATAGTCAAAATTATTGCAATGGTATTTGATTCGAGCATATTTTATCTGTTTTATTGTAACCTTCTCCATTGCATAAAATCAAACCACATAAAATCACAGAATAATGAAGAAGAACTTGGATCAGAGATAAGTAAATCCTTGACAGTGATCATAAAAGCAGTGAGGCATTGTGGGACACAAACTGTGATACATTGTGATCCAAACAAAACTAAAGAAGATTTCCTTGATATTATTTTTAATACAAAACCATAAATTATATTACGAAAGTCATTTATTTAAACAATGTATAGAACAATGAACTGATTGCCATCTATCATTTTTATATTAAAGAAGACGAATACTTTAAATAATAATAATATTCTATAGAGAGATAGAGTCTTACATTTTGGAATACAAATATGCAAATTAATTTATTTATCTAAAACACTGTTCTTGATAAAGACAGAGTAACGATGTGCTATGCTTAGACGAGAAGTGTATTTGTTATTCATTAAATGCAACATTTATTATTGATTAAGGAATAAAGATAATACGAATGGGTAATATTTCTCCTTACCTAAGATATGCCGAAGGCGATCTATTTAAATCCTTACGAAATTGTATTTGCGATCCTTGATGGAACTGTCGTAAAACACTGTTCTTCGTACGATCAACAATACTTTGCGAAACATTTCGTTTAAATAATGATAGGATAACATGTTTTGGCGCAGTAATAGACATTTTATTCCAGTTTTCTTAACCTCAGTTTAAAAGCTAATCAAGTAATAATTAAGCACTTGCGTATAATTATATCTCATTCGTCGGGTGAACGAATGTCACGTGGAACACATAAAAACAGTCATAAAAAATTGAACGAACTTGTATCTCGAGGAGATAAATGAGGATTTATGAAAGAATATAATAGATTAATATGCAGAACTTCTGAACCATCAGATCGCTAGACATCTTTTAAACTCTCCATGATCGTATTTGACTATGACGTCAGCGATTTTTTATGATACAAAATCATTTTCAGCGGGAACGGGAATACATTTGTCAAATTATAATTACTATCCCGATTCTACATTCTATTTAATAATAAGTTAATCCGTAACATATCTCCCTCAACAATTTGTATGCGTCTAACGTTAAAAAATGTCGCGAAAAACTCGTATTATGTGCAATATTTTATATCATTTGATAAATAATGTATTAATATTTTGTAGAACAAATGTATGCTTTAAAATGGTTTGTAAATGGTTGTGGTAAATTGGTTGGGAGAAATAGCTGCCGTTAGCTGATTGGTAGACCGGCATTAATGGGACCGCTATGTGCGGCCAAGTTTACAGTCTACTCTAGTGTATTATATAGGAGTCTTGTAACTTTTTTTAATAACATTGTCTTCGACGAAACTTGTTTTAAATTAAAAAATGTTAATTTTCTCTCAATGGACGCAGCCCATATAATTATGATCATGATCACAATTATATTTTATCGAAAATTCTACATGTACTGATGCTGAAATGGTCGCGCATGCGCGAAAGAACCCGGACACTGCCGGACACTCAGGCTGGCTGACAATGCTTGATAGTCAAAGCTCGGAGTGTTACACGAAAACGACTGACATCGCTTCTTTGCATCCATCTGTGATCATTTCAGTTTATATTTCTATATATTTTGCCGGAAGAGTTAGAAACTAACAAGAAATGGCAGATTACTTGGATGCTGAAGCAGAAGAGAGTGAGGTAACTGTTTAGTTGAGAGAAATCTGGATAAAGATTCGACTTGGGCTAACCCGATTTTCCATTAATTCATAGGAGGAGGAGGAACTCGATATTAACGAAAGGAGGAAACTCAAGAAATTAAAAGCTATGGAAGAGAGCGACGACGAAGATGATGAAGGTAAGAAAACGTGAATATTATACATGATTTTCCTCACAAGAGGACTGCCCTACTTTGCAAGTCGCTTTTGGAATGACAATAAGTTTAAATTATAGAGAGAAATGTGTTTCCTTTCGTTTAATTTTAATTGCCTTTAACGTGAATTATCCGCGAATACGTGAATTTAACGTGACAATCAAATTAATACAAATAGGAAGAACGCTTGATGTGTAATTTTCTGCAAACGCACTGTTAAGTATGTTTTCCTTTGTGAATCGTTCCTGCCGAATTTTCTGGATGAATCATTCGGCAGCTACGGCTGTTTACCAGGTATAAAGGTAACGGTAAAGTCTCGCAGCAAGCGTAACTTTTTACCTGCTTACCTGCTTACCTGCCTAGACAAAGAATTTAGGTACTCATTGTACAATATACTCTCTTTCTACTAGCGCATGATAGAAAGAGAAAGAAAGAGGTCTTCTATTTTCTCTATCTAAATGAATACACGGTACACGTTACACAAGAGCCTATGTCTTCCTTACTCTGTCTATAATACCTGTATGGTAACAGAACGACTTACATGGTATTTAAAGAGTTTACACTAAAATATAAAAACCGAAGTCCCGTTAAACGCATTGACATGCGGTCCCCTTGTCAGTTTAATAGTCTAGAATGAACTATGATGAACCATGTGTAATGATACTTAGATTGTAATTATGTAAAATTATTTCCTGACTAATATAACATATTGTTCGTTTTGATGCATAGAAGACGAGGGAGAAGTGCCAGGACTTATTAATGACAATCCTGAAGAAGACAGCGATGGATCTGAGGATTCTAGGAAACGGAAAAAGAGTGATGACGAATTCGATGACCGTTTAGAGGATGAAGATTATGATCTGCTCGAAGAGAATTTAGGTGTAAAAGTCGAAAGGAAGCATCGTTTTAAACGGTTACGTAGAATACAGGATGAGGAGTCAGAAGGAGAAGAAGAAAGAGTGGTAGACGATGAGAGAGATGCTATCGCCAATGAACTGTTTCAAGGCTCTGGTGACGAAGACGAAGAAAGGAGCGAAATCAGTCCTAGGGGTGAGACCGAACCATTCGACGAAGAGGACAGTGAAGACGATGATGATTTCATCGTGGATGGAGACGGAATACCTATAACTGAAAAGCGGAAGAAGAAAAAACCTATTTATTCGGATGCTGCTTTACAAGAAGCTCAGGATATCTTCGGCATCGACTTTGATTACGAGGAATTCGGGAAGTACGGGCAGGACGAGTTCGAAGAAGAAGAGGAAGAGGAGGAGGATGAGTATCTTCATGACGAGGTGGAGGATCGACCGAGGCGATCGAAGAAGCATTTGAAGAAGAAGAGCACGAAGAAAACCATATTCGAAGTGTATGAACCGAGCGAACTTATACGCGGGCATTTTACCGACGTCGACAACGAAATTCGTACTACGGACATTCCTGAACGAATGCAACTTCGAACCGTTCCCATTACGCCGACAGTGGAGGGTTCAGACGAATTAGATCTCGAAGCGGAATGGATCTATAAACAAGCGTTCTGTCAGCCAACGATCTCAGTGCAAGATGCTCATTTGAACGAGGAGGCCAAAGAGAGAGCTAAAAAGGGGCCGCAGACCGTGGGGAAGATTAAGAAATCTTTGGACTTCATGCGAAATCAAAACTTCGAAGTTCCATTCATCTCGTTTTACAGGAAGGAATACGTACTACCAGAATTGAACATCAACGACCTATGGAAGATTTATAAATTCGATGCGAAATGGTGTCAACTTAAGCAGAGGAAAGAGAATTTGCTGAAGCTGTTTGAAAAGATGCGAGACTTCCAGTTGGACGAGATCATGAAAAATCCTGATGCTCCATTACCCGAGAACGTACGAATCATCAAAGAGGATGATATCGATCGGCTTAGGAACGCTCAGAGTTTCGAAGAACTGAATGATATTTATCGGCATTTCATGTTATATTACAATCAAGATGTACCACTGATGCAAGAGAGCTTGCGTAAAAAGGAAAAAGAAGAGCGAAAAAAAGCTAGGATGGAAAAAAGGAGACAAGCAATCGCAGAAGCGGAAGAGAACGGGCTAGATCCTCCCGAAGAAGTTCCTGAAGTCGAGGAGAAAGAGGAGGAAGTAGATGAGACGTTGAAGCAGCCGATCAGGAAGGGCCCTTATTACATCTGTAAAAAGGCTGGTTTAGAGAGTCTAGCTAAAAAGTTCGGTCTCTCCCCGGAACAGTTCGCTGAAAATCTTCGAGACAATTATCAGCGTCACGAGGTAGATCAAGAACCGGCAGAACCCACGGTAGCAGCGAACGATTATATCTCTACGGTCTTTCAAACGAGTGAAGAAGTGTTGAAAGCGGCACAATTAATGGTCGCGATTCAATTAGCGCACGAACCATTAGTACGGAGATGCGTACGGGAAATGTACATGGAAAGAGGAAAGATATCTGTGATACCGACTAAAAAGGGGATCAAGGAGATAGATGAAAATCATGCGATCAATGGAATGAAATATCTCAAAGATAAACCAGTACGGGATCTCGTGGGCGATCAGTTTTTAAAATTATTTATAGCAGAACAAGATAAATTGATTAACATCTCGTTCAGCGACACGATAGAAGGAAACACTACCCTTAATTATATCGACGAGTCGAAACAACTGTACTACAGGGATGAATTTAGTAAGAGCGTGCAGGACTGGAACGCATTAAGAACTGGCAGCGTCGAGATAGCGTTGAGTCGTGTCGTCATACCGCAGCTGAAAAAAGAATTGCGATCGACTCTTCTAACGGAGGCAAAGCAGTGCGTAATGACAGCTTGTTGTCGGAAAATGTACAATTGGATAAAAATCGCACCGTATTCGTATCAGTTCCCTGAAGAAGACGACGAAGATTGGAATACCAGTAAAGGAACTCGCGTAATGGGTCTGGCTTACGTGCCCGATCCGTCTCAATCGGCTTTCACTTGCGTCATTTCTCCGGAGGGAGAGTGCACCGATCACCTGCGATTACCACATTTGTTGAAACGCAAGAACAGCTACAGAGAGAACGAGAAGGCGTTGAAGGAGGCTGATTTGTTAGCAATTAAAAATTTTATTGCCACGAGGAAGCCGCACGTTATAGTAGTAAGCGGCGAATCTAGAGAAGCGATGATGATAGTGGCAGACATAAAGGAATGCTTGTCCAGTCTCGCAGACGAGGAACAGTTTCCTGCGATTCAAGTAGAAATATGCGACAACGAATTCGCTAAAGTTTATGCGAACAGCAACAGAGGTATAGCCGAGTTCAGGGATTACCCAGATTTATTGAGACAAGCTATATCCCTAGCTAGAAGATTGCAAGATCCGTTGTTAGAATTCTCGCAGTTGTGTACGATAGACGAGGAAATTCTGTGCCTTAAATACCATCCTTTACAAGATCAACTTCCTAAAGATGATCTTATAGAGAACCTATATTTAGAATTTATAAATCGCATAAACGAGGTGGGAGTAGATTTAAACAGAGCGGTACAGCAGCCTTATACAGCAAACTTAGTACAATTTGTATGTGGGTTGGGTCCTCGGAAAGGACAGGCGTTGATCAAAATTCTGAAGCAAACTAATCAGAGGCTGGAGAACAGGACGCAACTTATAACGGCGTGTCACATGGGACCGAAGGTGTTCGTCAATTGCGCTGGTTTCATCAAGATAGACACGAACAGTTTAGGAGACAGTACAGAGGCGTACGTAGAAGTTCTGGATGGTTCGCGCGTACATCCGGAGACTTACGAGTGGGCCAGAAAAATGGCAGTGGATGCTTTAGAGTACGACGACGAGGACGCAAATCCGGCGGGGGCTCTGGAAGAAATTCTCGAATCGCCAGAGAGATTGAAGGATCTGGATTTGGACGCGTTCGCGGAGGAGCTCGAAAGGCAGGGTTTCGGCAACAAGTGCATTACTCTTTATGATATAAGAGCTGAACTGAATTGTAGATACAAAGATCTCCGGCTTCCTTATGAACCATTAAGTCCTGAGAAATTATTTGATATTTTGACGAAGGAAACACCGGAGACTTTCTACGTAGGTAAATTAGTTTTGGCAACGGTCATAGGGATATCTCATAAGAAGCCACAAGGAGAACAATTGGAACAGGCGAATCCTGTTCGCAACGATGAGACGGGATTATGGCAATGTCCTTTCTGTTTGAAGAACGATTTCCCCGAATTATCCGAAGTGTGGAATCACTTCGACACTGACGCGTGCCCGGGAAAAGCGACGGGCGTTCGTCTAAGATTAGACAACGGGATATCTGGTTACATTCACGTAAAAAATTTATCCGACAAACACGTGGCCAATCCCGAAGAGAGAGTTCGCGTAGGCCAAGTGATTCACTGTCGTATAACAAAAATCGAGGTTGACCGGTTCAGCGTCGAGTGCACTAGTAAAACTAGTGATCTGTTGGACGAGAATCACGAGTGGCGACCGCAACGAGATGTTCATTATGACACGGAGGCCGAAGAGAAAGATCTGAAAACGGAGGAGGAGACGAAGAAGGTGCAACAGAGGCGAACTTATGTGAAACGCGTTATAATTCATCCTAGTTTCCATAACGTGAGCTTCGCAGAGGCCGAGAAATTAATGCAAAACGTGAAACAAGGGGAAGCAATAATTCGGCCTAGCAGCAAAGGATCCGATCATTTAACGGTAACGTGGAAAGTGACGGACAACATTTATCAGCACATCGACATAAGGGAAGAAGGCAAAGAGAACACCTTCTCTTTGGGTCGGAGTTTGTGGATCGGCAGCGAGGAATTTGAAGATCTGGACGAGATAATCGCGAGACACATCAACCCGATGTCGGCGTACGCTTCGGAGCTCTTAGACTTTAAATATTACAAACTAAATGTAGAAGGTGTCAAAGAAAAAGCGGAGGAAATACTGAAGGAGCAGAAGAAACAGAATCCAGGTGGGATACCGTACATCGTGTCCGCGGCTAAGAATTATCCAGGCAAATTTCTACTCTCTTATTTACCGCGTACTCGTTGCCGTCACGAGTACGTTACCGTAACGCCGGAGGGATTTCGATTCAGGAGTCAAATGTTCAGCAAAGTGAACGAGCTGTTCCGATGGTTTAAAGAACATTTCAGAGATCCTGTACCGGGACAATCGACGCCTGGAACTCCGCACGGAGTAATGACGTCCAGAACACCGTATAACGGCACGCCAGGAGTCAACGGTGTAAATTCAGACGCGATACAGAGAGTGGCGCAGACGATGCCGCACCACATGTTGCATTCCCTCTCGAAGGTAGCGAGTCAAACTCCGCACCATTATCCACCGTATACACCAGGCGCGGCCAGTGTCACTAATTACGGAATGTACGGAAGTACGCCGTACACGCCTTCCGGTCAAACACCGTTTATGACCCCTTACCACACGCCTCATCACCCGCAAACGCCCAGCCACGCTCAGGGACCATTTCTACAACCGATACCTCCAGCGGTCAATCCGATCGCTCACAGAACCGCGAGATCTCACAGATCTGTCTCGAACAATACCGACGCAACGAATTGGTCGAAAGCCGCGGAAGCTTGGGCTCGAGCGAAGCAGTCGACTTCGAAAGAATTGTAAGTACTTATTAATATAAGTATTATTTAGTCTGTTTGCAATGATTTTACTTGGAATAACGTGTATTCATTCTGATTCTAGTAACACCACTCCGAGATACGACGACGCCAGGAAGACGCCGCGGGGTCAAGATGTTCAAAGCGAAAGAGTGCCTCCTCGTAGTAGAACTCCATCTGTTCGGACGCCGTCTTACAAATCTCCCAGGGGGACTCCATTCACGAATTCTAGTCCTCGAAGTATGTCTATGAGCGGAGACGGCACTCCTCTATACGATGAAAGTTGAGGCAACAACGCTTTTTACATTTAGCTAGGACAATTCGAATGTAAACGAACACAGGAAGCAATAAAATGTATCTAACTCAATCTTATGACCGCGCGGATCCTAAGACTGAGTTCATACATACATTTTATACTTCAGTGTAATTTATGTATAAACGCATATTCCCTACGGTTTTTCATCACGTGTATGTAAACGTTTGAGATGATATTCTACCTCAGAGAAATTGCACCATCAAACAAGCTCAAAATACCATATTACCGTTTATTTCTCGTAAGTCATGACACTCAAGAGCAAACTACTGCCCTAATTAATAAAACATGTGCATAAGTGTTATTTGTACAAGGATCTATTTGATACTAATTGTATATTTTAATATGAGAGACTAGTAATAATTAAATGTATACTAAGTAAAGTGTCTTTCTTTCCACGATCGTTTCCGACATTTTTATTTACAGACGTATTATACTCACTGATTTGTATTCATTGAAAATTAATGAAAATAAGTATAATCGCGTTTAGCTAAAATCCTGACGGACATATGACGTATTCTTGTAAAATCATGGAGACCAGTTATAACAAGTCGACCATATTCGGATTCGGTTTTTTATGTTCTCGTGGTCGCACAACGGTTACAACTTCCCACACGTTTTAGTACGTACGTTGCTAGGGACGCAGACATATGATTCATCCAGAATGGATGTTTCTTTTTTGAATCGCGATCAGTTGAATGAAAACGTACACGCAGGTTTTACAACAGTATGGAAATTGCGCGAATCACGAAAACTAAGAGGTGTAAAGTAAATCCTCGTAAAGGATTTATAACATTAATCACGTAAATGCTTCATGTTTAAATGAGGCTAAGATACCTTGTTAAAGCTAATGTACATCGAATAAATATAACTGAATAAACAAGTGCTACATCGATTCACGAACGTCATGAATAATGCGCATTTTACTTATTTATAAGAAAGCTCAATGTAGAAAGGTATAAAATGTCAAAGGGAGAGTAAATAGTTACCATAAATATTTTGCGTAAAAATCCACGGTCTATTTACGAAGTCTAGAGTCTCTAAAGGAAGAAAGATAAAGACAAATATGTAGTACATACCGGGAGTGTATACTTGCAATGAGTAGAGATTTAAACAATGAAAACGGTAACTGCGAATACGTAGTAAAAGTGGATCCGCGCGACACGTCCTGTGTTACGCTTCGGCCAACGTTTCGAATTCAAACAAGCCAATCTCTACGAACCGGTCGTATAGCTCGACGAATGGCAGCCAGAACGCGTTCCAATACATCGACAAAACGCACGTACGTGTCGTCTGTGTGGCTCGACGGTGGTAGTGTGAATCGCTGAAATACACAGGGATAACTGCATGTTACAATAAAAGCAAGCAGGAATTCCAGTCCAGCGTCCGTTCAGTTCAGATCTTCTCGTGTTGTCCAGTGTACAAATACGTGCTTGTTCTCGTCGAAGGATCTACGCTCGCTGATCGATAATAGTTCCTTTATCCCGTCGACTCGAAAACAGGTAAGCTAAACGTTTCGTTCGTTCGCATCGTGTCATGTTAAAAGTTATCGCGTAGAGACAAAGAGACGCTGGGAACAAAGGGACGCCAGTTTCTCGTTGACCCGATCGTGTTCGATCAGTAGATTTAGGCACTGTTCAATGCGAAACAGAGAATATGATGTTCTGTTCAATGATCGTAATCGATGTATTCAACTTGTGGCGTTGTTACAGAAATCTATCATGCGCACGAGTAGCAAATAATTATCGTACCTCTGATGTCTTCCATACAGTTAAACATTTAATCCGATTTATTTCCGATCTTTCTGTTTTCGAAAAATAAAAAGATCGGATAAGGATACTCGTTTTAATCATTTAACGTCGATTTGATCTTTGATCTATTGTACCGTGTATGTACACAAGCCTGAAAAAGTTCAAATGCCAGCGTCTACCGTCTTCGGTTCATATGCGAGACTCGACGAATGGTTCATGAAATATTTGCACTTTTCTTTCGATTCACTTGTTATCTTAAATAGCAGATAAGATATAAAGTGTATCTATCGATGTTCAATTTAATAGATCAATTTTTCATTGTAAACAAGTGTGTACCTAACGTATATTCTGTGTTTGAATCAAACTTCTTATTGTTACGATAAAGATTACTAAAAATAGATGCAGTGAAATGGAAAGAGGAATGTTTGTACAAAACTCAATCCACCTTTCCTTTATTAATCGTTTTACAAGAACGAATGTTCTTTTACAGAGAAACAATGGCTACAGCTACCGAATCGCCTGTTAAAGAGCGTAAGTGGCAAATACTATTTTTCATTTAGCTATACTAACAATGTTTGGATCTTTCCTTTGCCGATTTATTAAAATAGAGTGTACTAACACGTGTACTTAATTTATACAAGCTTATTATGAGCTTGCAAAATCGCCACGAGTAACGAGCTGAAATTCCGTTTTATCAAATGCGAAATGACGGTATGGTAGCCGTGAAGAACGCAAGTTTTTTGCACGATTTTCGATGACAGAAGTCAGCGGATGACAAAGGATCCTTAATTAGGTAGGCAATTTAGGTGACGGGCGGTAGGAACACACCCTAAGGCGACCGAGAGTAAGATATAGTTGCCGAGAAGAGGTCAGAGCCCTCCACACTGGCGTCCTCGGAGTAGTGCAGCCTGCACTTCACCGTGGCAACTGCAGCTTGACTCGACTGCAGTGCTACTCGAACGGCTTTCTTAGCGGTTCTCAACCAGCGAACAACATTTCAATCAACTTGCATTTTTCTTCAATAAATCCCTCTACGATATCTTCATATTCGAAATGGGAGTATTTATTCCACCCGATTATTCAAGTATTTTCGTTTCTTCATTTTCTGTTTCATTTGATAGTTCTTAATTCGACGTAAGACGGGTGGGAGTTCTAATCCTCTGATGTTGTTTCGAGGGACAAAATTACAAACGAGTATCTGGATGTAGAGATATTCTACCACGTCGCGCACGAGCAGATCAAATTCCGCAGCTATCGGCAATTTCGCAATACGAATAATTACACGTAGAACGATCGTATTGATCTTCCATTGCCGTGAGTACATGCGATGTAACGGGCCCCGCATAAGCGTCGCGTACCGACAAATAATAATGGTATCTCACAATTGAACCGGCTGTGTGCCACATAGCCGGCGCAACTTAAAACCCCCGGAACCTTTCTTGTTCCGGGGAATGAGGTTCATCTCCCGCACCGTGAGAGAGACTCGGCTCGGTTGACTCTTGGCCGACTTTAAACAGCCGTGCGTGCTCGATGACATTGAAGTGCGTAGGTTAATCCAATTGTCCGGTGCACCGTGCAAGATTGTATATCGGGTGAAACGCCCGTCAGCGTTTTCCCCTCCCGGTGAAACTCGGCGTTGAATTTCTTCCTGCCTTAAAGGGCACGCGGCGATAAACCATGCTTTAAAACCACGCGTTTTTCTCGACGAACCAGCTCCCTCTTTAATTTCTTCTTCGTTCTTTTCGTTAACGCTTCTCTAGATTCAATTAAATGTAACGAAGCTCGTTACACGTCGCATGTACGTACGAGATCGACATTCCAGTTTAGTTTTCACCTGGTTCGAATTGATACGTTTTCTATTAGTTTTTATACGAACTCGATATACGATATAATTTTCTAGATATTTATTGTAATCGATTAGACAGACACTCATTTATGAGTATGACAATTGAAAATGCTCAGAACAAATTTCTGTTTGAATTTTATTTTCTATATTAACTCCGTACACGACAGTCCGATTTCTGCGCAATTTACCACGGTTCGTGACTAGTGGAAAAAGGGGCGACTGCATTATTAACATCGCCTGTTCCCTCGTTCTGAAAATATTCCACGATATCGATCCCACGGCGGCGTACAGGAGAGATTCATTCACTTTACAGCGTATCCTTCGACCGTAATGCGCCACGGTGTATCCGACGTTGCGATTGTTCGATCACGAAATGGAAGAGTTTACTGGGCAACAACGATCTTCGTTTGCGTTCTACATATTCCGACTTCGATCTTTTCCCTCGCGACCATCGCGTCGCCCGTTCAGATCGATTATCCCGATCCGCGACTCGTTAAACCGTTCCGATAAACGGAGAAGAGGATGGACACTGCTGACAATAAGACGGGGTGTGTCCATCGAAGGAACGGGAGACACTCAGCTTCCGGACAAAGGCAATCTATTTCCAGCGTGAAGGAAGGAGCAAAAAATTGATCGTTTTCTTGGAAATCGAGAGGGGAATAACAGCTACGTCATTCTCGCCTGGATCGGTTTTTTGCTATGGTGATTCGATTTAAGGAAAAAGACTAACTCCAAAAAAGAGTATCGCAGAGATACATAACGAAGTATTCAAATTTTTTACAGCGATGATCATAGAAGAGGCTTTTGTATACCCCGGGGGTTCGAGGAGCGCTTAACACGGATATTGAAAAATCGAAACAAGATTCCTCTCTCCGCGGTGCATACCGCAAGGTCCATGAGTCAGGCCGAAGATCGGATACTATGTAACGAACCAGGGGTAGAACTCAGCGGTAGGGCTTGATTTATAATAGACGTCACGAAATAGGGCGCTGGTTATGTAAAATCTTCGCAAACTTTCAAATCAATAAGCGAGAGATAGTGCAGGCTAGTTATCATGCATTCCAGCATTGCTCTGTCCTCGTTAGACAAAGAAATAATCGTGCGTCGAGCCAAGTATTCAAAACGGGGTGCACAAAGAATTGTGTAATCTCTATTCTTTAGAAGGATTATGCGTTTGTGCATCGAAGAAAGGATCACCTTTTGTAGATAATAGTTTCGTTTTACCTATCACTTCCATAGAGTTTGAAGCTCGCATTCTCGTGCCAAACTGATGAGCCGCGGAATTCCTTAAGAATCGTGGAAAGGAGATATCATCGTCCATTGATCAGCGGGCGGTTGCCGGTGCGAAGTTTTGTGAAGGAGGTGTAAGAGGCTCGCTGAGGTGGACAGATGCTATTCTACGCCTTCGTGTAGACCTCGTACACGTGCCTAGCGGCCGGCAGGCAGCCGGGTCCACGATATATGCATGTTAAAGGCCTATCGGAGGTGGAGGTTGGAGGTTGGAAGGTTAGCAGAAGTGGAAGGGTGGCTTGTCGTCGGGTAGGCTGTGCTCGTTGCAACCGGGGGGGTGGTTTGATCCGTGCCGGTTAGGGGTGCGCGAGAGGCGCCGGTGGGTGGATATTGAGCGACGCCAGGCGTCGTGGCGCACCGTGCGGATCAGTCGCCCTCCAGCCACCGCCCCAGATACCAGTTCCCAGTCACTTCCGACCCTCCTCTTTGCTCGTCGAAACTCTGTGACTCTCCCCTGCGATCTCGCTCAGCGCTTCTCACCTTTGTTTCTCGTAATCTCGTTCCTCACGACAGCTTTTTTACTTCCGGCAATTACGGAGCGCGATTCGCGAACGCCGGAAACATGCTGATCGGTCTTGTGCGCGACTCAGTGTTGCAGTGCTTCTGTCACAGCTGCAAAGCACCGTTGGGCATCGTAGGTGAGTCCTCTGATCCTCGAGTAACACCGTTCCCCGTCACGCTTTCATCGGGAAAGGTGCAACCGTTTCGACGAGATTCGGGATTCCATAGTAGATCGTTTAATCAGAAGGGGAAGAAGAGTCGATACCGCGGTGAATGACTTCTGCAATCGAGGTGATCCGCTAGACTCAAGCATCGGATATTTCACTTAATCCTATTTTATACGGTATCGCGATATCTATTTAGACCCCGCATTTCCTCACTTATATTCACAGCTTTGACATCGCTTTCTACACGAGTTCATTTTATTTTTCTTAAACCTGAATATCATTACCGATCGTGTCAGGTTTAAATAATTTTTACTCTTCCCTTGAAAATCCTCCCTTTTCAAACTCGACGGCTAGCTTATTTTTACCGGAGTCGACGGTGGTCGATATCACGCTGGTATCATATTATCCTGGCTACCTGCAGTTCGATCAGTTTCTCTAGTTTCTACCAATAGGTATTCACGGTGCACCTGTGCATCTTCTACGATAACAACTTGTTCGCATCGTTGCAATTTATTTCTTACGCACGAGATTTGATATCCTGATCGAAACAGTTTTCTTTTCATTTCTTGGAATCCTCCGTACGTGTTTGAAAGTAATAATAGCGGTGGCCCGATCGAAACGGGTCGATACTGCTGGTTTTAATGCACGAGTCACCCTGAACTTCCGCGAGCTCTTCGGACGATCGCAGGGCCAGTCGTTCGCACGTGCTCTGAAGGAAAAGCCTGTGGAAAATCGGGGTGCGGCCCAAGATGGCCACCCTTACTCGTTAGCCGATTCCGAATAGACGGTTGCATCGATTTCCCGATAATTAAAGCGCGATCCTCGTTCCCCTGACCCCTACGGTAACGCGGTACCGCCTCATTGATTCTCAATTTTCTAAGCGGCAGACAGGAGGGGTAATGCACCCTTCAAGAAGCCCAGCGGCAAAGGAAAGCCGCGGACCAAGCAGCCGAAGAAAGTAAAGTTCATCAGTGAGTATACGTGTGACGCTGCTCTCTTTTCAATTAACGAGACCTCCACTTCCGACACCTTCGCGATCGGCTCTCTTAATCGAGCTCAATTACACCGTTTGACTTTGATCTCTGGCGCTCGTTTCAACTCGACTTAAACACGATTAACAAAGTTCAGGATAGCAAGTTTAACTGGGCTTCTTTTTATTTTTTTATCGATTGAAAATTATATGTTGCATCGCATACTCTCTGCGAAGTGCAACGAACCCTGCGGCGAACGGGTCGCCAATATGTCGCCCGGTGAATTATAAATCGAAGCCGGCAAACGTGACGAAGAACACACGGTACGGCATGGTACACCGTAAGTGGGGTGAAAAAGGTGCGTGTGTGCCGACGCTAGACGTCGCGGCGCCTAGAGACAATCGTCCCGTGGGTTGATCGATCCTTTCCTTCTTGCGCCTCGTGAGTCATACTTCCGTAACTGCCCTCGCTGAGCCTACGAGCCAAACCCGAGACGGATCGAGAAATCTTCCGCCGAAGTGGATCGCCCATATGCCAGACCGGGGGGGATGCCTTTAATTGCGCTTTGCTCCATGGGGGGTAATGAATGAATCATGTCAGTCGTGACATCGTTACGCGGATTTCAGTTACGTTGCGAGTGGCGATGATTAATTCGTTTTTGCACCTTGGCAATTAAAATTAATTATTGCGTTACCACGCGAATCAGTTGAAGAATTATGTTGATACGTTCTTAGCAACCGAGATCCGATGCCAAGAGAAATCGAAAGGTGGCCTGTGCTACGAGGTGATCTTGGCAGAGCCGACGGTGCAGAAGAGAGCACCCTCGCCGCCACAGGCGAGCCCGACTCAACAAGTCGCCATCGAGGATAAACTTCGAGCAGCTGAGGAGAGAAGGCTTTCTCTCGGTGCACAAAAGATCGCCGCTCTCAATGCTAAACTCACGAAAATCGAGGAGGCCTCCCGTAAGAAAGACGAACTAAACTCAGCTTTCATCACCGCGACCCGCGAATCTTTAGACGCTAAGATGAACAGCACCGAGGAGAACCGAGAGGCTCACATCCAGGAGTTGAAGAGCAAGTTAAAGGAGCATGTGAGTTCGCGATTCTTCTGCTCTTATTTTCATCGAACGAGAACGTTGCCTTAATCGATGTTTCGATCTTAGTTGGAGAGCGTGGAAAAGACTCGTTTGAATCTCGAGCAACAGACTCAAGAGGTGAAATGCGCCGTGGAGGAGAAGTTGAAGTCTGCCGCTGCTCAACGCGACGAGAATATCAAGAGGATGCAGGAACGTTTGAAAGAACATGTCGGTACATTAAATATCATCGACGAACTCCCGCGTCTACGGGACCTACAGTGATCTCATTTGATTTTATACGACTTTTAGGAGGAACAAGTGGCTCGAGTGCGTCAGGGAATGACTGAGCGCGTACAGCAGCTCCAATCCCAGATCCAAGGCAAGCTGGATCAGGCTCAGGAACGCCGTCAGAACATCGAGCGCGAACAGAAGGAGAAGCTACGCAATCATGTAAGTTGCACGCGTTTCCCGACCGCAATTTGGCTATATTAGTCGTACAGGTTTTTCTATTGGATTTGTTTTGGCTAGTATCAGGAAGGATTTCTCGCTTCCGTAGTCGTAACGGCTGGTTTGGTCGATTTTTCATAAAGAGGAGGAGGCGTCTTTTCAGGAGCGAACGTAGTTCGAGTATTCGTTTAGTTTCTTTTTCTTTTTATTAGTGGAAATCCTTTCTCACGAATTATCCGACTGTTTTACCCAATAAGGGAATTTGAAATGGTCGTTTAGAACACTGTGAAGATAGCAAAAGTGCGTCAGATGGCCACGAGAGAGCTTCTGGTGAAAAAGTTCGAATTTGACAAGAGGGTTTCTACTGCGGAGCAGAACCGACAACGAGAGATTCAACGTCGTGTGCAGGCTATTCGCCAGCATGTAATTTCGCCACCTTTCTGTTGACTCAATATGTTCTCGTTGTCTCCCAAACCTGTCCACGAGATACATTTGCTTGTTACAATCTGTTTCGCTGATTAAGTTATTAGTAGGAATTCCGTGACTAGATTGCAGTAGGATACGAGATTCTGATTAGACGTTTGTCATGAATTCTAATCGCTTCGCCGTGTTATGTAGTCGAAATTATTTCACGTAGGGATTTTGTTTTGTTATCGTTTTCAGCATGAACCTGCATTGACCAGCTCTACTTCACCCTATAGGTGTTAGCTTAATTTTGGTTCTGGCATGTCTTAGAATAGTACTCGTCGCAAACTCGGCGGCTTAAAACATCGGTAATCTTTTGTTTCTTCGAAGGAGAGGCGTGCGGAGATGGTGAGACAGAACAAGGCGGCTCTGTCCGAGCAATCTGCCATGCCCGCCGAAAGGGAGACTGCCAGCTCTGGGTAAACGAAATAATGTTTCGCGGTTGCAAAATCGAGGAAAGAGGAGAGGCGGGATTTGACTACAAGGCTTGCGGAGTCATGCCGCTGAATAGAAATTCATCGGAGTTACGTGTTTAAACATTCGAATAAACTACGGAGTAATTGCACTCGCTGTGCTTCACCCGGGGCGCTCCATTACGCTTTGTGCCATTTTTGTTCGCCGGAAGAAAATTATGGGATTCATGCAAGCGATTAAATAGTAGCCGAGGATATCTGCAATTTTAATCACTTTCTTTTCGTTACGAAAGATGGGGGATCAAATATCAAATCGGATCAAACACTCGAGAATGATTCTAGATTCTCCGCGAACGAAGCGGAGATCGATCGATTATTTTCCTCCCAGTTTCTACTTTTGCAAAAAAAAAGAACACTGCCTTCATCTAACTGAAATACACCTTTCCCCTTCATTTTTAAAGATATACGTGTTAACTTCAATCGAAAGATATTACAGCGTGTAACATTTTATTTTTTAGTTTTAACGTGCCTATCACTGAACACGATTGTGAATCTTCTCGAAGATGGCATTAAGAATACCTTATGTGTTTGTGATTGATTGTAACTAATAGTTTGCAATTTTATACAGCGCTTCATTCATTATATTTCATTTCATTAATGGCTATATATGTGGTGTTGTTATTCACTCACGATTAATTATCCTCTTAAGAAAGACACTCTTAGTTTATGAAATCGAGATCTTATTCAACGGTTCAACATACTTTTAATCCTGTTACACTTCCCTTTTATCTCAATGGTTTTTTATTTTTTATGTAATTATTTCGCGATCAGTTCATTAATGGTTTTGCTTTTCATTTATAGAATAATGATAGATAATACTATCGCTACAATTAGATTTTAAGTGGTAACTGCGACCATACGTGTGTGCACACATACCATATACGACGAAGTACATGTGTACGGTATGTGCCGACATATAAGCACACTTATAATATATATACATATATATATATATATATATATATAATAGTGCTTTATACTAGGCTTGGGAACTTTAAAACCATTTTGTACTCGATCATTGTAATATTACTGCGCTAAATTGAACAAGAACATAAGAAAAAAAAAGTATGTAGTCTAATTGAATATGATAATGCTTCTGTGATGACTTACATAATTATTTGTCGAGATGTGTAGTGTTTAAGTGAGAATGTGAGAGGGTGAGAGAAAGGAGAGAGAGAGACATTTGAAATTCCTCTACGCTCGTACATAATATCGGATACCGTGGCTAGGGGCCTTAATTTCGTTCTTATGTATCATCGCTGGTAATCGAAATGAAAAATCGTAGACACCGTAAACGGAGCAAGGTTTTTTAAGAAACTATCTCCTTCTCGCAAATGGTTGAAGATCACGCAGCTAGTGGTTCCTCGGCCTTCTTAGATACTCTTATATAAATATATTGAGGATACCATTAAACGGGGGGAAACGTTTAGCTCTGATCACGGTACCGTCGCAAATTAACGGGATATTAAAAAACAAAAGTGCAACTATACATATGTCGCAGTGATATTGCAACCGATACTCGACGATCTTAGATATCGAAGCTACATGGGAAATTTTTACAAAGAATTAGAGGATAGGAGGTGGGAAGGAATTTTACGTTGACAAATATGAATTGTAGACTACGTTCCTGAGTGGTACGATCCATTCGTCTCGTGTTGGAACGTAGAGAAAAAATTTACGAAATGGTCTCGATTTTCATGTGATCGCGACAGGCGAGCAACGTATATTTTTGCATAATTGTTGTGATCTTTTGCAAAATGTATTTCGTCTGATTGTCGCGTTGACGGCCGACGTATGTATGTTATTATTGTCCCTCGATTTCGCGTTACGATATATAAAAAATATAAATTTCTACGCGATGGTATATATAATGATATGGTTACTACAATTGTACGTATGGTTTATTGTGAGCTTTGGTAATTGTCTTATAGTGGAGCGGCAGAAGCAAATCATCTCTTGCAAAAACGATTATTGCGAAATAAATTTCTATTGGAAACAAACAACAATCGTTATCGTGAGAAACTATGAATCGGTTGCCTTCGCTGATCGAAATCTTTCGATGCGATCGTCTGTTTTCGAAATGGGACATTTTTCATATTTCAATAGCTTTAAATCTTGGCGGATAGTTTTCGTCGAAAGTGATTCAGATATAGCCGACTTACGATACAGCAGATTATTTCGAATCCTGCCAGTGCCTTCTTAGTTGTTATACATTAGAACACCCTGTCCGTTACGAGGATTAAATACAACGTTCGTTTAACGATAGTTACTTACCCTTTTATTGATTCGGTTAATTGTTTGATCGCGTTGAAACAGTTTAGTCGAAAATCATGTTGGAGCCGTCTAATTTTAGAGTTATCCGAAACGTACCACGCGGGAGAGAGAGGAGAACGCTGATACGTCACAGGCCGTACCACGTGACGCCAATGGCCGACGGCCAAAGGCTGAACGTAATGGCGAAGCAGGCTTTGTGGCCGAGTAGGTAGATGGCAAATGGCTGCCGTGTAGGTGAATAATAATGCGTAGCGAGTGCGGGAGAAGTGTTAAAAATTGTAATAAAGTGCGTGTACGATGTTGCTAAAGGGACGGTCATCGGAGAGGAAGAACCGGAGGCATCATGGGAAAAACATCAAAGCCACAGCCGGTAAGTGGTTAGTTTGGTACGACAGCAAATTTGCGAAATGGTTCGCCTGCCAGTCGACGAGATAGCCCTGCTGCATTTCTCGGTCCCTCTAATCGTTTTCCATGGTATCAACACAACATGGCCGAGAACCCCGTAACCCAACTATTTATTGTACGATTTTTACATTCCGTCTCGAACAATCGTAAACGAGAGGAATGTACAGGTGCATAGCAAACTGTCCCGGTACCCCCGTTTTTGCGCGTCGAAATTCATTGCAAACCTTTGCTTGGATATCAACGCGATTTGTCCGACTCAATATCTCTCTCGAAGTGAGAAAGTGTTTATAGAATTTAATAGCAGAACCGTAAATCCAAGTGATGTCAGTTTATCAAGGTGACTCGTAAAATGCATAACGTAGGAATCGTGCGTACGTATTTGCTTCGAAAGACAGTGATTAGATCCAGGATCTTTTATAGCATTAAGTAGCATCGCGTAATAAAGCAGAATATCACAATTTGATTATTGTATAGATAAATTACGCTACGTTTCGTAGCGTACAAGTGCAATGAGGCTATTATCTCACGTTCAATATGGATACTTGACAAGATTTCATGTGTAATTACATTTCGTTTGCTATTAGTAAACGCGATTCAATGTTGCTTGTTACATTTCAACAGATGTCATTCAATTCCTCGTTTTTTCTATGAGACGTGATAACAGTGTTTTTATTAAACCACATTACATAGATGCTCTTGTGTACTCACGTATGTACACTGCGTGTTACATCGAACCGTGTACGCGATTATCAATGAATTTGAACTTCGTCCCTTCGTTTGACACACAGTGCTATTGACGATGAGACGTCGTTCTCGCAATCACTCAAATAAATAGCTATAGCATTTTTTCGTTCTAAATAAAACAATGTTCAGCGAATTGTTATCAAACCAGAGTACTGTCTTTGTCAGCCAGTGGTCTTACACATTTCATTACGTGTGCACAGCCGCGTTAGATCGGTTTCACTTAATTCACGTCGTCCAATGCAATGATCACAGTATTTCTATGTAAAACTAGTTACCCACCGCGTTCTAAGTAAACGCATTTCCAAGATTTCAGTACATTCGTTAGTTAATTAGCGTGCATTCGCTAGAAAGAATGCGCCATAAAATTACTATTAAACGCGCAAGATACCCAATATTATAACTTGGATATTCCCAACGAGTATAACATACGTATTGACTCATAATCTCGCACGATGTGCGTACAATACATTTCTTTTAAATGTTATTATATCCGTCGATCGAAAGTTACTTTCACTTTTCGTTAAAATATAATACTTACTATAATACTTTCCAGGTTCACGTTCGGTTCACGCGCTGGCAAATGTATACAAATCTTCTGCTAATGATAGTTTCGTGTTTATCACGATTATTATCATTTTAAGCGGAATTGATATGAGTTTCATAGAATTAAATACATTTATCAATCAATTGACTATACTTAATGTATCCTGTCGTGTACATACTAATTTATGGGACTTTTGTGGAATTGAATCTACGAACGAAGGTAGCGATACTCAGGTTTACGAAACCATTGAGTTTCAGTTAATTTGGTCACTCGTGTACCGTTATCCGATTCGAGGATAACCCGAGGACCAGGTATCGCTTGAGCGGACTAACGCCAGCTTTTAAATTTCGACTGTTTCGCGGTACGGCCGGTCGCGAAGTTTATGTAACCACGAAAAGTTGATATTGCGGTGTCGTTATCGCATGTGAAAATATACTATAGCTAGACGACGGAGTTGGTCAATGACCAAACGATTTCAACAAACGTCGGATTAGAATTTATCACGGAATTGTGGGACTTCCAAGGACAGGAAGTTAATTGCGATTCTTTAGGCGACCGGGTATTGGGTTCGTTCAAAATTCTCTTATCGTGCGTGAAGCGTAGGACCCAGCAAGAGATAACAGGCTACGTTCGGAAGAGTAAACAGACGAGCGTAATTGATGAAGAAAGAAAAAAGATGTAGATATTTCAGAAGTTTGAAGAGCCACGTGGCCTCTCCGAGTATCGCTAACGAATGCGAATGACAATTAGTGTTCTTATCATTGTCGAGCTCTGCGCGAATATGTCTTTTAATTTTCGCTTTGCTTTAAACGCTCCGTTTAATATCGACTAATATTACATATGTATAAAGAGGTGAAAAATGATGTATTGAATTACGTTCCTCAGGTAAATCTATGATAACGCGTTATTCTCGTGTGAGAACAAATTTGTTGGATATCGTTGATGGACAGACGAGTTTAAGTCTCACTTAAGTCGTCGTAAACTTTCCAATTCGTCGCAAAAGCTGGATCGATCAAGTAGCCGGCATATGGCACCCTGAGGAACAGAAAAGCGCAATACGGAGACAGAAATATCGCAAGGTATCGGACGCGAAATCGACTCGATGCGTTCCGCTGGGTTAAAAGCATCGATCCGCGTTCTTTATCGTCATGGCAACACAATTATCCTTGTGTAGGACCAGTAGTAGAAGTAGACGTGAACGTATGTTTCCATACGACACACTTCAATACCACGTACGTACGTACGTACCTCTCCTCTATTTGTTATCTTACTCTATCTTCCTTGCTCTATTCTTATCGCAGCATGCTAAGAATGCATTTTCACGGTTTCACTGACACGCACCTTACGTATGACGTGAAACGAGTTCGTCTCTCGTTCAAATAAATCTACCAGCGTTAAATTGAACGGAAGGAGAATATGATCGTCGAAACGTGCAAAGGTCGATTGCATTGGGAAAAAGTGTAGATACATTTGTCTACGCGTTTAATTGGAGGAGCCACGCGGTCAACGCAAAGTATCTGAACGAGCTTTTCAATACCGATGCGTAGCCATTTGAATAATAAATCGTTTTATCGATTCGTATTGACGCAGCGGCTCGCATGCTTCGCGATCACCCCGTCCGTTTTTCATCCTACGAACATTCCTTTTTAACCCGGTTTCTGCTTTCTCGAACTTGCGCACTTTTTTCTTTTTTTCTCTTGTCGAATCAATTTATTGGCCCGACGTTTCGCATATCTCTTGCCCGGATGCTCGCTGGGCTTAATTCGGATATTTAGATGCGAACGCATACACCGGTAAATTATCATGCGCCTAAAAGTCGTCAAGGTCCTGGGTCCAAGTCCTTTCGAACCCGGTGCGCCCCGGCAAAATTTCTCGAGGAATAACGGTCGATGAATCCGACGACGTGGTGTCGAGCGACTCCAAGGTCTTTGTAATGTAGTCTCAATCACCGTCAATCTACACTGATCTGAACAATTTAGGGCCACCTTCTCCCTGCCGATACACCCTTTCCCACTCTCGATTCTCGCTGGAACGACTCATCTCTCATGCTTTCTTACTAGGTAAACTGCACCAGTTCGCGTTTTGTGAACACGCTTATTATCAGACTTCGGAACGATCTCTAATGAGATTGTATGAACTCTTACGTAAAAACAATGACTAAGCATTGAAATTTTAATAGTCACTAGATATCATATTCATAAAACACTTTACAAAATTTTAGAAATTTTGCAAGTCTGTTAAAAAATTTATGATTTCATTTATGAAAAAATATGAATGCAACAATGATAGAATTTCGTAATTTTCTACAATTTTTAATACATGATTATT